AAATAAAAGAAGGTTGCCATTTATTATTCAATCCAAATTTATTTATTATTTAACTAATTAATTTTTTTATTTATTTAAAATTTATAATATTACTAATTATATCTAAATAATTTATTAGTTATTTTTTTCGTTAGAAATATAAAATTTTGAATTTGAATCACATAATATATAAATGAAATAGAATAAAAAATATAAAATAAGTATCTTTTATTGTGTAATTAAAATAAAAAAATTTATAATAATAAATATATTTAATTATTTAATAATTTTTATTAAAAAAAAAAAATCTCTACATCGTTACGCTTTTAAACTGTTGCATGTGGAAGCATTTTTCCTGTTCCCACTCTCCGGCCCTGATGGGTTCATCCATGCCGGCTTTCATGGGGAGGGCATGGGGGACAAGTTTATTGAAATTACGAGAATATCCCTCTGTATCTATAAAACTACCTAATTGCCATACAAGTTATGGAAAATAAAGATCTTTTTTTGTATAATATAATTGTTTTTATATTCCTTAAAAATAAAAAGACTTCTTAGCAATTAATTTTTTTTTAACAGCATAGCAATTAAATGGTTTTAAGGCCACAATGATACAATAATATTTTATATTTATAAACCAAAATATAATTAATGAAAGTAACAGATATATTTATTTTTAATTAACTTATGATAAGAATTATCAAATTTGATTTAATAAAATTAATATTTTAAATTTAAAACATATAATTTCTTAGTAAAAGGAAAAGTGGGTTTTATTATGTCCTTTCAATTTTTGTCTTAAGTGAAAAATGACGATAATAAAAATAATATATGTCCTGGCTGAAAGGAAAAACAAATTGGGGACATTTTAGTAAAAGACAACGACGACATTTCTGGGACATGAAAATGAAGTCAATTCTGGCGGTGATGGAACAGATGATTTCCTGGGGACAAGTCCACGAAAACAGTTCCGTTGTGAAGAGGACTGGGGGATCCTAGCGGAATATTCATCGAAAATTACCGAGGATCACATTTGGATTTTTTTTATTTAATTAAATGTGGTGTTATAGAAATAGTTTTTTTATATTATTTTTTATATATTATTAAATGAGTTGATGTATTTAATATTATAAAATTTATATAAATTAAAAAATTAATTATTTTAATAACATATCAAATTATACAAAAAATAAAATAAAATATTATACAAAAATTATTTCTTTTTATTAAACGTGATGCGGCGCTTAAAATGAATAATTATAGAAGGATGAAATTTTATTAGAATAAAATTTGAAAATAATAATATAATATGAGTAATTTTATTTAAATTAATAAAAGATAAATTTTATATTATTTAATAATTATTTTTTTTTGTTTTATTAAAATATCTTGTTTTAAATTATTTAATAATATAATTTATATTATATCGATTCTAAGTTTTCTTTCTTTATATTACTACTTGCT